AAAAAAAAAAAAAAGATAGTTTTCATTTCTGATTCTGTTTTCATTTGTATTCTCACCCTGTTGCTCAGGCTCATAGCTCACTGCAACCTCAGACTCTAGGCTTAAGCAATCCTTTTGCCTCAGCCTTCCAAGTTGCTGGGACTACAGGTGGATGCTACCCTACCCAGGAAATTTTTGTACTTTTTGTAAAGAAGAGGTCTCACTATGTTGTTCTGGCTGCTCTCAGAACTGCTGGCCTCAAGTGATTTTCCCACTTTAGCCTCCCAAGTGCTACAATTACAGGTTGAGCCACCAAGCCTGGCCTGTTTCTTGGCTTTTGTTTTGTTTTTAAGTAGGTAGGGTCTCACTGTATTGCCCATGCTAATCTCAAATTCATGCACTCAAGCAATCCTTCTACCCCAGCCTCCTATGTAGTTGGGATATCAGGTGTGTACCACTATACTGGCTGATTCTTTTGTATTTCAAGTTGTCTCATTCTTTTTTTTCTTTTGCAATTTTTGGCCAGGGCTGGGTTTGAACCCACCACCCTCCCTGCTCCTTGAGCCACAGGCGCCGTCCCAAGTTTTCTCATTATTACAGTTTCTGCCTCTCTACTGAAATTATTCATACATATTATCTATATTTTCAGTTAGATTCTTTAACATTGGAGGGGCCAAGGGAAAACTTCACATTTGCTCTCTGAAGATTCACTGAAAATCAATTGACAAAATGCAGATTAGTAGGAGAAAAGGGATACAGATTTATTTGATCATGGTTTTTACATGCATGGGAGCCTTCAGAATGAAAACTCGAAGATACAGGAGAAACTGTCCATTTTTATGCTTTGATTCAACAAAGTATGAACAGCTGTGTAAAAATATGATTGGACAAAAGGAGTATGACCTAATGGGAACAGACCAAGCCAGGCCTGTCTAGATTCTTCTTGGCTTCTCCGTATAGCATTTTTACCTTTTGGATATGGGGCAGGGCTCCTTCTAGAATAGGGGATCTTATGAATTACTTTTTTTGAGACAGAGCCTTATTCTGTTGCCCCCTGGCTAGAATGCCCTGGCATTGTAGCTCACAGCAACTTCAGACTCCTGGGCTCAAGCAATCCTCTTGTGTCAGCCTCCCGAGGAGCTGGGACTACAGGTGCCTACCACGACTGACTAGTTTCTCTATTTTTAGTAGAGGCGGGGACTCACTCTTGCTCAGGTTGGTCTGAAACTCCTGAGCTCAAGTGATCCAGCTGCTTTGGACTCCTAGAGTCCAAAGGCCACCACAGAGCTGGCCACTGTAGCCAGTTTTTACAGAAAGGTGAGTTTGGGGTATTTGGGGTTTTTTTTTAGGTATTATGGCTGGCTTTGAGAAAAAGTGGTTCTATATTCTATGATTGTCTTTAGGGAAGAGGGAATCTAGTTTCTATGATTAGCCTTGAAGAGGAATAGGGGCAGGAGGGCAGGAGTTCAGAGAACTTTTGCTTTTGAGGCCTTCATTTTGGGGTATTGTTTTCTGAGCCTCAACACCATGTTAAAGTTTCTGTCCATTATTTCGAAAATCTGGGTTGTTTCTGTATATGGTCTCATAGCTTATCCTGTGTGAGAAATGATATTTGTGAATGCCAGTCCTTGCTTATGCAAGTCAGTAGGCTTTTTTTTTTTT